GGACCTCTATAAGTCAGATTTCTTTTCACCATTGTGATTTATCTTTGGCTTGACGATTTATAATTTTAATTTTATGATTTTTATTTAGTTGTTTTATTATCTATTGAACTATGATTTAATAATTACTTTTAGGATAGATGAGAGGATATTAGCATAGGTGCAATTATATTGAACTTTGTTATATGATTTTTCATAAATTACAAACTAACATATCAATGATTTTTTTTTTGTGTGCTATAAACATCACAGATGAATACATTATTGTCGAAAACACTAAACAAAAACGAAGCCTGTTTCATCAATAAATCAACAAAATGAGTCAAGTTGGTTAATATTTAAAAATATTAACTTTTTCCGTTTTGTTAATTGTTAATGTATATTTTTGCTGTCACATCTTAAATTTGTCAGATTGGTGTTACCAAACAAAGATTGAGATTATATCTTTATAAGATTACCGAATTTATTTGAAGTGGATTATGAAGGTATCCAAAATCCGAAAATGTTCCATTGAGATCTACAGTAATAAAAACGACTATGTTCAAGTTTTAAAACTAATTTTATGTAATGAGGAGGTATTGTGTAATGTCAGAATCAGCCAATCCTTTTATTAAGTTTCATTATTAGACTAATAGGTTATTTTTATATAATATTTATAGGGAAGTAATGTCCAAACTACGTTGTTTAAGGATACAATCAAAAAGTTCTATCACATGTTTGAGAAAGGAAAAACATGTCGGCTTCAAAATGGAAAAAATAAGAGCAATCAACCCTTATTCAACATTTTTCACATTACATACACAATTTCATACATACATACATTTGAAGGGGAAGATGAAGAATATGCAATCAAGAATCAAGAACAAGTAATCTAGGAAACAAGATTATAGATCAAGAAGCCAAATCAAGGTATTGCAGTTACATCTTCAATATTCAATATAATGAATGGATCAATGTATATTCCGAACTTCTAATTACCTTGGTAATTTGATATGGAGGACCTTGACAATAAAATTTTTGGATTTTCTAAACCAAGATTTAAAAAGTTTAAAATTATAACAAGAGCTCCATCAATTAAGGCCAATTTAGATAATTGTGTATCATTATTACCCATCATCAATAGATAATCGGTGAAAGTCTCAAGAGTTCATTATTGATCTAGTACGGTGAGTTGTGACGGTCATTCAAAATTTACTTTCTATCATGATTATTATTGTCACCACTTGTAGATTTTAAATGGCTAATAATTCCATAAAAAATAATGTTATCCAGTACAACTGATTCTACAACACTAATTTAGGTGGCCATATGATACATTTAATATGAAATAACGAGACGTTTAATACGAGAAACTACTAATTACAATGCTTTGGATTAAGACGAAGAATTGGGTTGGTGGATACAAGAAATTATTTTCTTATAAAAGACAATGTCATTTACTTCAACTTTTCATCCTCGTATTATCAATTATTTACACTAGAGAAAAATTATCAATAATTACGCAATGAGATTACTATTAGAAAATCATCAATATATGATAAATATCACATTATCAAATACATTATGAAAACAAATATCTAAGGGCATTGATCTTCTTTCGTAATATTATTTTTTATTTTTCACTGTTGAATAATAATTTATTCGAGTAATCTAATCATTCCAAATTAAAGAATCTGAAACTGCATAAATAATAAATGTTTATATTAAAAGAAAATTCTACAATAATTATACACAGAGATACTATAATAAATAATCATTTAAATCACATAAGTATCTATAAGAACATCAAAAAAATATTCAACGTAGATCTTCACTCGTACTCGTAGTACTAGTTCATTTTTTCCGTAGTTTTTAACGAGAATTTTTTCCGACAATCTAATCAATGGATGATCATTCTAAAAAGTTTTGTTCAAGTAATTTAATAGTTGAGGGTTAAATCCACTAATAGGCACATAAATTTATACTTAGTGTCACTAGGGGTGGGCGTGTGTTGGATTGAATCAGTTTGTGACCCAATTCAAATCCAACCCAACATAGTCGGTTTGATTGAAATTCAACTCAACCCAACCCAACCCAACCCAACCCAACACAACACAATCCAATTAAATGTCGATCGAATTGGATTGGGTTTGTCGGTTTTGGACAACATGTCAACAAATATTAAAGTCACAAAATTTTTCACTCCTCAAAGCCGTCCAGATCATTTAATCGTCACTATTCACTCACATCTTCACTTTTCAAGCCCTATCTGCTATTCTCGAATAAAATGACCTCTCAATAAGCTAAAAAAAGCAGCCTCAATCACGAATGACACTAATTCATCAAATCTGATCCAACCATACAGAAACAAACCCTCCAAACCCTGCTACTAAATTAAAACCAAACAACTAGTGATTGCAAAAACAAAGATAAATAACAAATACTAAACCAGTCTGCATATGTAAAAGCTCAACTACCTCAAAATTAAGGGCAACTAGTGTTTTATAAGACTGCTGTTTCTCCATTATCATCTGAATACTCAAGACTCCGCTTCCACAACAAGCCGCTGCCCTCACTAGGATTAATCTCATACATTGAACCGACCCAACCCGACCCTCTTCTTAACCCAAAACCCGAACCCAACCTGACCGATTTGGGTCAGGTTGGACGGTTTAAGTGGGTTGGTTTGAGTTTTGCCCACCCCTAAGTGTCACAATTGTCACTCAATTTGATTTTGCTTTACCATAGCCACCCGACTTTAAATTCGGTGTCACCAGAGTCACCAAATTTTATTTTATTTCACCATGGTCACCCAATTTTATACAACGTTTCACCATGACTATCTAATTTCATATAACATTTCACCATAGTTACCCAATTTCTTTTCACCATTTTAACTAATTTTAAAATAGGTAAAACAATAACTTTATATTATATATAAAATAAATTTTATTTTTTAAATTTTAAAAACTTTTTTTAGATAAGCTTTTATTTTATTTTATTTTAAATAAGTTTTTGTTTTATTTTATTTTTCTAAGTAATTTTTTTAAAATAAGACTTTATTTTATTTTTTTAAAATAAGTTTTTATTTTAATTTTTAATTTTTAATTTTTTTTTTATATATGATATAAATTTACTATTTTACCTCTTTTAAAATTAATGAAAATGATGAAAAGAAGTTGGATGGTCATAGTGAAATGTTATATGAAATTGTGTGATCATGATGAAATAAAATCAAATTGAGCAGCCTAGGTGACATTAAATATAAAGTTGGGAGGCATGATGAAACAAAATTAAATTGCATGGTCATGATAACATCAAGTATAAAGTTGCGTGACCATTAATGGATTTAATCCAATAGTTGATGGTGATCGTAGAATCTGAACGTGGACAAGGCCACTCCCATTTGAAATTCTTGAATTTTAACTCAGGGCTTGTTTGAGCTCATTTTTGTCCGAAAAAATATATTTTTGAATAATGTATTGATGAGAAATGTGTGATTAACAAATAAGAAAAAATTTTAATTTACGTATAATATTATTTTATTAAAGAATGTGATTGAAATGAGATCCAAAAATACATTTATTTCAAAAACAAACGAGGGTCAAACCGGGGCTCAATGTTCATACGTCAGCCGAAATTGTCTAAGTAATGATATCTAGCAAAGGTAATCGGGTCCATTGTAGATTTCTAGTAACACATTGCATCTCTCTAACATAAAGTAGGGTAATTTATGAGCATGGCAGTCATAGCAGGAGATAGATACAGAAGTAGGGTAGGGGTTAGGCATAGGGATAGGGGTGCGGGTAGCAGAAAAAGTTTGCGCCCACATTTTTTAGAAAATCTGTAGGTAAAAAAAGGAAAAATATTTGAATTTATGCGTAATATTATTTTATTGAAGAATGTATTTTTAATAAGAAAAGAGAAAAAAATGAATTATAATTTAATGGGTCAAACGGGACTTTATCTATCATTTCTGGAACGAAGTGAGGACAAATAGAAAAAAAAAAGCGTCTGGTTATTGTTGCACCCGATATGGACATGCTATTAGGGTCCGTTTAATTGTTAGGATGAAAAATAGGTGGAAAGAAAATGAATTTCAAATAAAATAATTGCCTAAAAACTGTTTTGCAGGGAATTGTTAATTAAGTGTGTTTGATTGGTATAATTTTCCACCGAAATTTTTTTTAAATTTTGTGTTCGTTTAGCTTTGTTTTATATGAAAATTGTCCATTAAAACGATAATTTTTTTTCACAATTGGTTATAAAATTTATTTCAATTGCCAAAATGTAAAAAAAAAAAAATTTCCTAAAAAATCATTTTTTTATCAAAGTTTAGTGTTCGTTTGATTTTGTTTTACGTGAAAATTGTCCATTAAAGTATTTTTATTTTTTATTTTTACAATTGATTATAAAATTTGTTTCTATTGCAAAAATAATAAAAAAAAACTTGGAATTCAGTTTTTCCACCTAACCATTTCATGAATTAAATGGAAAGTGGGCACGTGAGGTGGTGTGGAAGAAAACATTTGGGTGACCAAATTTTGTACATCAAACACCACTTTTTGTGAAGTTGGAATTTCATTTCCATTTTTCTAGGCAAATTTGGTGCATCAAACACTACCGTCTACCTTATTGACAAATATTTTCTTCTTGAAAAACCACATTCACTCATTCATACACTCTCCCCCTTTTTTCTTCTCATTTATTAATATCTCTTTTTTCTTCTCATTTATTAATATATAGTTATCCTACCTGTACAAAATTGAATTATAAAATGATTTAAAAACTGATCTTGCAAGCACACATTTTGTCAATAGTTTTGTAACTCAATTTTGTACAAGTAATATTTTCTTCAAACAAAGACAAAACGAATGGAGTGAGTGAATTCTCTGTCATCCCATCTCTTTTTCTCTTTCTCTAGGGTGAAGTATTATATTATATCGATACAACTGCACGTGTGCAGTGTAGGTCTCAAACCCCATATACCTGCCAGTAATCTTGAGAATTTTCTTTGAGAAAAAATGGAATTGAAATCTTCAGAAAGTTGGGTTTTGATGGGAATAATACTGGTTTTATCAGTTATTTTATGGTTCTCGAAAAAATACAGGCTAAAAGAGAAGAAAAATGAGATTCCAAGAGGGAGTTCAGGCTGGCCTTTTATAGGGGAAACTCTTGAATTCATAGCATGTGGTTACACCTCCAGACCTGTCAGTTTCATGGACAAACGCAAGTCTCTGTAAGAATTTATACTCATCTTCTTCTTCCAGTTTTTCATCAACTTCTTTGTTTTTTGGATGTATATACAGAAAGAAATTTCATCAATTCAAAAATGACTCTTTTGTCCGTAAAAATGAAATTTGCTTTGTAGTTTTTAGAACTGGAAAGTTATCTTCACTGCATGTTTGGGTAATGTTTGGGTTGGGGAAGGTGGGATAACTTTATGTTTGCCTTCTGTAATTTGAGTTGGTCCGCTGAGTTTATGACAAATCAAAATGTTTATAAAAGAAGAAAGACGAGAAAAGAAGAAACGGGAACAAGAAAAATTTCCAACCTTTGAATGTGGAGGAAGAATTGGAAGTAACATGAAGTTTGCCAACAAAGTAAATCTACCTGTTCTTCGTTATAACATATAATTCTGACTTGAGAGGATCTCGTTCATTCAAATCATCACGTCCACTATAATTTTATCAAATATTCACTAGATGCTCAAATTTTTTTTTTTTTTTTTTTTTTTTGTGGGTTTGCTTTATACTATATAGTTAAAAAGTTTTACCTGAGTAAAGTGTTGTGAAACTCAGAAACATTTGGAACTTTGTAATCATTATTTTGCTGGTTTCTTATTCAATTATGGTATATTATATAGGAATTATTGAATTTTTGCTCCATTTATTTGGACATGGTATGAGGGCAGCTGGGGTTGCATTCTTTTTTACTTTTTTTGGTTTCTTTACTATTTATTTTACATGAAAATTAATTATTATCGATTTTTTACCCTTCATAAAGTGAGTCTTGTGAACCTTACACAACATTTTAATGTCTGTTTGGATGGAAATCGGCTTTTCAGTACCCACGTGCTATTTGCTCTATTTTGAATAGGTAAATCTTGGTCGTGGAGAGTTCCTTTGCGATAAGCGCCTCTGTTGATGATATGCTTTTTCGATATCTGAATGGAAGCATCACTCGTTGATTTACCATTAACTACTAAAATATGGCTGCATTTGTAAGCAAACCAATTCAATATAGTTAACATTAGTACTAAATTTCAGGTCTTATGTATGATTTTGTTGCAAGTACTACTTTGTTGTTACATGGACCAAATAAATAACCCAATGATCTAATTACGACACAATTCAATTTTATTATGATTGTATAGTTAATCTTCAAGGGATTATAAGATTTATATATTTATGTCAAATTCTCAAATATGCGTGATCATCATCATGGAATATATGCTTCCTATCCATCCATCAAAATTACATATTAATGTATTCAATCATAATTACTCGTCCTATCTGTGTGTGTTCAATCAGATATGGAAATGTATTCAAGACGCACATTCTCGGGAAGGCTATTATAGTATCGACTGACCCAGACGTAAACAAGGCAGTGTTACAGAACCATGGCAATGTTTTCATACCTTGTTATCCCAAATCAATTTGTGAACTGCTTGGAAAATCTTCTATACTGCAAGTGAATGGAAATGTACACAAAAGGGTGCATGCACTCATAGGAGTTTTCTTGAAATCAACACAGCTTAAGGATCGGATCACCAGAGATATCGAGAAAACTGTCCGACTCTCCTTGTCAAGTTGGATGGACAAAAGCCGCCTTGTTTACCTTCAAGATGAAACCAAAAGGGTATTTCCTCCCATGAAAATGCATGTATTTGTATGTGTGTTCTTCGCACTCTTGTTCATCTATCCATGTACACAAATGTGAGTGCATTAGATAATGTTTATTTAAAAGGACAAGACTATGCATGGATATAGACGAATTTAGCTTCATTTTCTTAATTGTGCATTCTACCTTACAGAAGAAGCCATTTATGTTGTCATAGTCGAATTTTGATACTTTGAATGAGCACAGGCTGCAATGACTAGACTGACATATTGCTTACACAACTGAAATTATCTTTTTCAAATATTGCAGATTACATTTGAGATACTGGTGAGAGTGTTACTGAGCATTGGTCCAGGTGAAGAAATGGACTTCCTAAAGGGGGAATTCGAAGAATTTATCAAAGGATTAATTTGTTTGCCAATTAAACTCCCTGGCACGAGACTGTATAAATCTCTGCAGGTGAATATTGTGTCTTTACTTGTTTAAGTATGCGGCATACACATGTTCATTAAAACAAGCTCGTTTAAGTAATTATTGAGTAAATTTGATCATATTAAAACACGGATTTTTAGTTTCACGCGTGTTTTAATGTTCCAACAGTCTAAGGAAAAGTTGCTAAAGATGGTGAGAAGAATCGTAGAGGAGAGGAAAATGGCTATGGAGAAAACAGAAGAGAAGGGGTTGCCAAATGATGTAATTGACGTACTACTACGCGATGCGGGGGAATCAGATGGAATGCATCGGCTCCCACTGGATTTTATCAGTGGAAACATCATAGAGATGATGATCCCAGGAGAAGAGACTGTCCCCACGGCCATGACTATAGCAGTTAAATTACTAACAGACAACCCAACAGCCCTAGCCCAATTGGTGGTATGTATTATGCTACTCTATCCAGTCCATATTTTTCTTACATGACTAGATTCTTTTTGGTGAATATAACTTTTTTGTGTAACATTTTATTTAATGTTTCCAAATTAATAAACTTATCGAATAATTGTGGTCGCCTAACCTAAAGTTAATTTCATATGGAAAAACAATCAAATTGACGGAAAACATTTAAAAACGTGAAAAGAATGGAAGACGAGAAATAGTACCCATGATTTCTTTGTCCTAAATTGACTTTGGGATCCCTTAGGTATGCCATCAACATCACTTTTTGATTCTGGAACTATTGATTCTTCAAGCCAATTTATTTTTATTTGGAGACGCACAGGGATTCACGTGGAAGATAGCAACGTGTGTGCCCACATGTTTTATGAACAAAGGATTATAGGATGCAAATTGTAAGAAGTCTTACAACCTTAGTTTCAGTTGAACAATTTCAGCAGACCTCTGTTATTAACCACGTCTCTTTGATTCTGGTTTGCGTCCACTTTTTACGGTCACGTGTCTATGTTCTTTACCAAATAACATAATGTCATTAGGAGACAATCAAACTAAAAGTTTGTATTTGAAGCAGGCCTAGCTTGTTGAAATATGGCAATTGACTGAAGTCCCTATAGTCGAAATGATTAAAATTCTCTGATAACTGCAGTAAATTTAATTATTTAGGGCGTTTAAAATTTATGTCCATGAAACAACTATACTGATATTAGTTACTTCCGGTTGTGAAATTTATTTCAAGTTGTTTTCTTAGCAAGAATTGGACTCAAGAGTAAATTCATTCTGTCCTGAAACAGTCTACCTCCTGAATGATTTCTAAAAGCAACGTCTTCAAAATTTGCGTATCTGGACCCATATTGTACGACTGTATTATGATAACATGATCACCAGGAACTCAGTTACTGCATATTATTCCTGCAATTTCAATTGATAAATATAAAGTGCTGGCTGTGGCTGATACAATACTGTGCTTTTGCAATTCTGCAATTCTGTTACGGGATATTAATGATGTTATGGACTTTTTGTATGAATTATACAAGAAGAAAATATAATAATTTTATTACCATATTTTTTCTGCAATGCCAGGAGGAGAACATGGAACTAAGGAGACGGAAAGATCCTGCCTGCGAAAAATATGCCTGGACGGATTATATGTCCTTGACATTCACTCAAAATGTGGGTAGTTAACCTTCCTATTTAATGGGAAGTAAATAATCCTATTCAGCGCCTGAAGTTCATGGAAAATACTCTAATGATCAACTGATTTTTCTTTTCTTACCAAACTTTGTATTTGGCTTCTTTTTTTGTCCCAAACCAGGTGATCAATGAAACTTTAAGACTGGCAAACATCATCAATGCAGTGTGGAGGAAAGCTCTCAAAGATGTCAAAATTAAAGGTATATTAATACTTAGTGGAACTTAAATTTTCATACTCTCCTTTATGCAGAAAATACCAGCAAAAAAGTTAAGGAGCTCATTTTTCTTATTTTTTTATTTTTATTTTTTTGCAGACTACTTGATACCAGAAGGGTGGTGCGTCTTGGCGTCCTTCAGTTCTGTACACATGGATGACATAAATTACAAAAACCCTTATGAATTTGATCCTTGGAGATGGGACGTAAGCCGCATCCTCTCTATTAAAACTATAAAGATATTCTTCATGTTGGTTAAATGTCAAATCGTTCATTGAGATTAATACGTACAATTACCATTCAAAATTTCTTGAAATGATAACATGTTTCATTCTGTGCTCATAGCTGAATTCTATTGCTGGAATGAGTTATAGTATGCATAATCATCACTTTTTAACTCTACATTTTGATGTGAATTTGCTATTCTCATAGTGTTGTAAATTTTGTTTCTTCTTGCAAAAGTACATGTACTGGTGGAATAGAATATATCTACTGCAATAATTATCGTCTTATTATTGCACTCTGATGACTTTGTCATGCTTATGATGACAGAAAACAGGCGCCGCTGTCAGTAGCAATGCATTTACACCGTTTGGTGGAGGACAAAGGCTATGTCCCGGGGTAGAACTTTCACGACTTGAAATCTCAATTTTTCTTCACCATCTTGTTACAACGTACAGGTAAATCCTATAAAAACTGCCAAGAACTACTGGGTTTCATTACATGAAGCAGAAAACATGATGCCCTATGGAACCTCATTCAAAAAAAGAATTAACGTTTTATTATGCTAGGATATATTGCATTTTTGTCTTACAAAAAACTTGAATATTTCGTTGTTACATGGAAACTCTGCCAATTCATAGGTGCATCCTATCGAAGATGGGAAGATAAAACTTTGATCAGTCATATTGCAAGTGCCTATTAGACTTATCTTTAGCATGCTAATTCAACAATAATGGCAAGTGACATTTCACTTACTCATGCACAGATGGGTGGCCGAGAAGGACGAAATAGTCTATTTCCCAACAGTGAGAATGAAGAGGAAGCTGCCTATCACAATTGCGCCCCTACAGCAATAATTTCCAGTTAACAAATATGGTCCTTCCCACCATTGCAATCCAAATAGGTCCCGATTGTGCTGGATAGACTGCTAGATGCAGCCAGATTTCCTGGATGGTACTATCCAAAGGCTTAAATCAAATACAGCTAACTGATACACCTTGAGGCCAACGACCTTGTTCATCTGTTTCTTTGTTTTTATTCCTATGCTAGGGAATCTTTTGTTATTTCTCGATAAATTGGCTTTTATCGTTATGAGATTTCTCTCAATACGCTATCAAATCTCGATGTTCTTATAATCGACAAGTATTTGATCATATCACTTACCGTTTTGCATCTTCCGCTGCTTCAGTTTTTGTTACATCGATTAGGTTGCCGACAAATGTACTAGAATATTGATGTAATAGAATTAGTTATAGTGTCACCATCTGGTGTCTGCTTCATGAGGGGTCTTTCTTGCCTGGTTAGGTTGAGTAGGACAAAAAAATGCAAGTGGAGAAATGATTCTTCTGCTCCAAGGCTTTTTTTAATCATCATATGAAGTGTATGGTTTAGTTGGATAAGAAAGAATATATGCGGTGGTTATTAACAACTTGAAGGTACATGGTGGTCCGACCCCGTGCGGTACACTTGTATTCTCTACCCCAACAATAATGCCTACCAAATGTTTGATTAAATGCATAAGAAAAATATTAGTGTTATCAGTAAAAAAGGCGAGAAGAGATCTCATGGTAAATCTAAAGGGAAAAAGAAGTATTACTACCTTTGTTTGGTACCTCTTTCACAAGAGCGAGTTACGAATTATGATTTACAAAAAGACGTGCATTTCACATAGCTTGGTTACCCAAATGTACCTCATATTCGATATTAGGACAAGCAGTAGTAACACACACCAAACTACCAACAAGTCGCTTATAAAGGGTAAAATTAGAAAGATGGCTCTTTATCAAACCATGTGAGTCTAGCATTGGCTTCAAGAGATACAAAAGTAATCTTAACACATGGATACAGTAAGATGATCACCGGTGATAGGCATATCATCTACATAGAGGAACATGGGTGTAATACCTTAAGTTATTTTGCAAATGAACATCGCTAAATCATAAGAACTAGAAGTAAATCCAAATTTGGACACAATAGAAGCTAAATTTGAGTTGAAGCAATCAAGATAAAAACAGAAGTCGAGCGACTGGAACAAAACTCTACACATAACCAATGTTATATTCATAACAGCAGGCTTTATAGTGCTCAACTGTACCATTCAATTGAGTATTAATTTTGCAGACGCAATTACAATCGCCTATGACTTTTAGGAGGTAAATCAACCACATTCCAACTCCCATTTTTCTCCATGGCTTGCAATTCTTGTGCCACGGCTTGCTGCCAAAAAAACATTAGAATTGGCCTCAAGAAAAGTGAGGTTCATGGAGACAACTAATAGCAAAAAAAACATTGATATTCTTGAAGATGACTGAGAGATTTGCATACCAGAAATGAATGATGAATAATAAGATCAGAAGGAACGTGAGTGACAGAATTCACAAGCAAAGCAATACCATCAGAGGTCGTAATATTGGTCTACAAGAGTTTACAGGAATCACTTGCATTATGCCATATCATAAAATAGGTTGACGAAAAGAATAGCGAAATAATGAGAGCTTCTTCAAAAAAGAATTTTTACATGACGAGAACGTTTTATGTTCTCAGAGCACAAAGCAAGACATACAAAAGTCTGTCTGAGATAGGATCCCGATATCTAAACTCTTTATTCTTAATTTTATAAATCGGAATACAACACAAGGCAAGCAAGGTTCAAGTTTATTTGTTCATGTGATTGAAAAAAAAAAACAAGCACAACAAAAAACATCGAATAGAGAGTAGCTAGGAGTAATGCCATAGAGACATTCATGACGAGTAAGATTGTTTGTGACAAAAGATGGTACGTGATTAACAGCTACTCCAGAAATGTTCAGGATACTGAGAAGAAACGATTAACACTCAAACAGTCTCTTAACATGTATCTGAGTTTATGTTTGGCACGATTACTTTGAGAAGTGCCAAGACAAGAATGTTGAAGGGAAGACCCATTTTGTTTGAAGAAATGTAAGTCATAAGCGTTCTTAATATTCGAAAGCATTGTCTGGGCAAAAGAATTTTTAATTTGAGCTGAAATCGTGGTTCAACCATCTTGGCAAAGTTGGAATAAATTCAGATAATTCAGAACAAGGATGCATATGATACTAGCAAGTATAAATTCAGATAATTCTGAACAACACGCATAAGATATAACCAAGTATAACGAGAAAAATCATCAAAAAATAAAATGACAAAGTAACGAGAATCTCTCTTTATGGCAACAGGAGAAGGACACGAAATGTCATAATGTACAAAATCAAACAGTTAAAACAAATTCACTAATAGGGCAAGCCTGTTGTTTGTTCGCAAGTGGAGAAGACTTACAATTAATATGTTAGTAGGAACACGACCTAATTGCCACTAGAGATTAGAAACTGAAGTCTATCAAATGATACGTCCTAATCTAGAATGCCACAAGTACAAAGGAGAGAAATAAGATTGCACCGAAACTGAAGTTGAAGAAGAAACATGTACAGGTGTGAGCTCAAATAGAAGCCCAATTTTACAGCTTGTCCCAATAGTTTGCTTTGTACGAGTATCCTGCATTTAGAAACCATGTTGAGAAAAGTGTACGTCAAATCCCATATCACAAAATTGACAAGCAGACAAGGTATTAAAGTGAGAAAAGGAACTAGATAAGTTTCAAGATAGAAAAAATGAGACGTACTAAGATGGCCAACATAATTAATAGACATAATAGATCTATCAGCTATATGAATATGAGACGTGAATCAGTTGTCTTGGAACTATATAAAAATGAATCAAAAATCACATGATTGCAACAAGCTGTATTTAGAAGCCAAGAAAGTGAACTTGAGATAGTAGACGGCAAAAGGAACATAGTTACCAGAAGTAAAAAAGAGATGCTGAAGGAAGGCGTGCAGATCGTCGACAAGGATTATGTTGGAATAAATGAGTCCTTCATGGCAAGAGTATCAATAGCAGAAGTGTAGCTAGCCTATGAGAATCTCTGGGTTATTGACAACTAGGCAATTTAGCATTCAGAGCATTCTTGTGGGCTAATCTTTGACAATTAGAAATATGATGTCTGGCATTTTACAGTGGCAACATTCTATAGAAGACTGAAAATTAGTAGTGTGAGTAGCAGCAACCATGGTAGGACTGGAAGTAGTAATGATAGGCTGAGAAACTGATGGAGTATACATAATGTTGGTATGCTGAGACTTCATAGATAAAAGTTGAACTTCCTCAAAAATCAATACTGCCACAGCTTGTTCCAAAGAAGGCAAAGGAACCATGTGAAGCAAAGAGATGCGCATAAATTCATCTCAAAGTGCCATTAGAAACTGAATCAGACGATCCTCATTCCTACAGGAGTAAATTTTTGAGCATCTGATGCTCCCAAATAGGTTCAAAAAGAGTGAAGTGATCACGAAGAGATCACATTTGAGCATAGAAAAACTGATAAGTCGACCAGGCTCTTGAATCATGCAATGTAGATAACTTCTGATCTCATATATAGATGCAAGATCACCAGTGACACGTTGATTTTGCAACATATCCCAAGAGAACATTGGTGGCTGATTTATAAAAAGACAAAAGAGAAGGATCACTCAATAGGGTAGAGAATGTTTGAATTTACAAAGGAAATGAGAAGAATTCAAATTTAGAGTAGACGAACAAATCTGTTACATGTTTTCGGCATTGAATTGAGTGCCTCTTTTCTTCTATAAGGGATTAAAATAAAAGGAACTAAGCCCCTGTTTGACATCCATTAAGCCCCTGTTTGATGGCCATTATATTGAGAAAATAGAATTTTGAATATTGATTTTTTGGAGAATGTGTGGTTAAAAGCCGTGATCGTTAGTTGACAAAATTTACTAGCACTAGCTTTAGAAGAGGAGTGAGTTTGCAAGCTACCATTAGCTGTAAAACAGCCATCATGAAAAATAAAATAATTCTTCAATTCGATTAGGCTATGAAATCAGTAGATTAAATCTATGTTGCCCTTAATTTCTACATAGTGATTGTACTAACTTGATTGACTCGCCTGTGTAGATATATTCTTTAACTGCACAAGATCATTTTATATGTCTTTATGAGCAGGATTTGCAGCAATGACATATCAAAATAGAAAAACTTACCACCAATAAAGGCTTACACTAGAGAACTTTTGTTATAACAGATTATCATAAGCAGCATCACTTGCAACCTCGGGCTTTGTCTTATCATGAAAATATATCCCAGATTGATTGAATGAACACAATATTTGCAGGAGTTCGTTGTTAGACAATTTTGAAGGTCTCTTATTTGCAAATCCACCAGATTCCAAAATGCTAATTGTTTTATCTCTGAACAAGCTCATGCACACTCCAGACGCAGAAGACAAATCAGAGTTCCCTTCACCTCTCACCCTCTCTTCATCTGCGTTTTCATAGTTATCATAAGTATGGCAGTGCCTGCTATCTTCACAAAGCCCTTGTGCCTTTGACAACTTCATTAATTCCATTAACTTCCTCTTTTGCTTAAACGTTGCGCCTAGCGTCTTGTTCTTCTTACTAAAGCAAGTCCTCGTAAATGCCCACCATTCCTCAAGATTGACGTCTGGAATCACATTTTTTGGATAGACTTTGACCACTGAAGAATCTACCTTTGGACGTGGTAGAAAGTCGTTCTTGCTCACATCCCTTACGAATTCCACTTCAGCCAGCAGCTTCACATTCACGGCTAATCTATTAAATTCAGAATCACCTGGCTTTGCCAATAGCCTCCTTGCAAACTCTTTTTGAAGCAAAAGTGTTGCACTCCTAAATGGGTTCAGCTTCGCCCCAAAAACCAACTTAGCCAACAGGGGTGAAGATATGCCGTATGGAATATTTGCCACAACGAGATTGAACTCCGGAAACTCGGTCTTCAATGCATCGCTGCAGATAACCTGAAAAGAAAAGTGTAAATTTGATCCCAAACTTCCAATGAAGTCCGTTGAATGTTCAATTTGGTATTAGAGCCCACCCAAATGGACAGAAATTCATTCCTTCATGCTGAAACCTTTAGTCCTCTGAATGATTTCCCTTCCATTCAGATGGACAGTTTATTAAATGAAAGTCTATTGCCAATGAACACCATTTAAAATTAAAATAATTATAGAATCTCAAAGGAAGTCCGTGTAATACGTTTGCATTAAACCCTTCCTACAATAGTACAATTCTTTAGCCAGCAGAACATTTAGGGTGGAGATTTGAAATTAGAAACTTCGGTGAGAAATTTCATCATACATTTAAGCGGACATAATAAAATGTATAAATTCTCACATTCAAGCGATCCTGGAGCCCTCCTTCAGCCGCGCGTTTACAAAGAATCTCCACCATGCGCTTGTCAATCTCGACTGCTACGACTTTCTTGGCTACTTCAAGAAGCTTGAGAGTGAGATTTCCGGTTCCAGGCCCTATTTCCAAAACGGTGTCATCTGGTTTTATGCTAGACGTTCGAACAATGGAGTCGAGGACTCGAGGGTTCGTTAATAGGTGCTGTCCTCTGCTTTTGAGAAGGTGTATGCGCCCTTCTTCTTCTGTTTCTCCATTGTTCTTTCGTATTTGATAGTAGTTCTCATGACTGGACTTTGTCTGCAGGTGTCGTGAGACAAAAAATTCGATAAATTTTGGAGTGCAAAGATTCTTTGAGAGCGGTTTCTGACAACGGATCATTGGGGTTTTTCTGGGAATTGATTGAAAAATTTATGGAATTCAGTTGAAAATGCAAAGAACTTGTTTTTGATGGTTTTCTTACAAAAGAAAAGGCGCGGGAAGATATATTGGAGTAGTTACTCCGGATGCGTCTGCTTCTTCTAAAAGTTAAAATTTACCTCTTTTTTAATTCTTTCATTTTTAAGCCTTGTACGGTTTGGATAGAAAATAAATTTTTCGAAAATTTTTATGAAGTTTGGTAAAATGTTTGATTGAAAAGTTAATGAAAGTTACAGTCCATAAAATATACGATTAAAAATAAGTTTAGGAAAAAATGAATTTTATGAAATGAGATGCAATCAAAGACTAAATAAAATATTTTAAAATATTTCTCTATTTTCAACTCTTCACTATTTCTAACCCTAACATCACAATCAAGTAGTGATATTCATAGTGAAAATACTTCCTTGGTCGAGCTCGTCGTACCGGACTTGCCTAGTACGATTAACCTCTCATATGTGGTTTGTGGGTTACTGCACATGTAGTGAAATTTGTTTAGTGTCACTCAAAGTGATCGAGCCTCCGCCCCTTCGGGGTGGTCCGGGCTTTGCTGGTGAGTAGCGGTTACGAGTTCCTACGCCAACAAAAATATATATATATATATTCATAGTAAAAATTATCAGTAATCGTCTTACGTAACACACACACACACACACATATATATGATAGTTTGTGATTTGATGCATGAGTCAATAAAAAAATTATCACGTTAATACAAAAAATTACAAACTATCACATGTATCAATGTAGGACAATTATCTATAATCTTCGCTACAAGTAATATTACTCATGACAACCATTCCAAACCCACGCATCATCGATCCCACTCATTGGGCAGAAGTCGAAGGTCACTTTCATTCATGCAATCTAGTTGGAATATGCCACTTGACTCCTGCGGAAAGGATCCGAATATATTTAAAAAATTTAAAATGTTATGCAATCATTCTAGAGCTAATAAATCCATTTTTCAAGATTAATCAACCAAATTCAAGTCTACTAGATATAGAGTAGACATTGCTTGCAAGTTGGGCTAAATATTACATTGCCCAATCCATGTAACGACATGTTGGACGAAGCCAGATGAACCCATATCTTTTTCAAATAATTAAAAAAAAATTGAATTCTTAGTTATTTCATTATTTGCCTTTGTAAGAGCCGAAAAGTTCAAAGACCAAAATCAAAGAAATCAGAAGTCGAAGGAATCGAAATTTGGAGGACCAAAAGCTCAGGGACCAAATGTTAAAGAAATTGGAAGTACATGGTCATGGTGTGCAAAATCCTAGAAGTTGGGACGAGGCGCGTATGCACTAATTCATCACCTTGTGGGTGCAAATCTCGAGCACTCTCCATTTGAGCTTGGCTCGTAAATAAATAGCAAAGGTGGAAGATACGCTCTAGCCCCAAATAAAGAGTTTGGTTTCCTTTTGGAAACTTAGGGCCTATTCTCTTTATCGTTTTCGGACCATTTTCTGTTTTCGATTTTTCAAAACAGTGAAAACGCGTTCTCTTTCTTATTTTCGAAAATGAATTTTTGAAAACAAAAAAAAAATATCAACTGAAAACCGAAAACGTCTTTTTGGACGTTTTGGGCGTTTCCTTCCCAAAGAATCAAAAACGCGGAAAACAGCCCGTCTCTCTCCATTTCCCCCAATTTTTCTTTCTCACCTCCTCCTTCCATCAATAACTTCCGCCACCAGCCACCGAAGTTGCCAAACCCCCACAACACCGGCACTCCCTCACCTCCCTCTACAACCTTCGACCATCGCCTGCCCACCGACCGCAGGAAACAACCCCAATTGTCATCCAAAACCGCGAGTGCAGTCACGGTTTTCCGCCAGTTACTTCCACATCTGGCCACCCTCTCGATCGTGGAGCACCACCACAACATTTCTCACAACCAGGCGCATCTAGTTCTACCATGGGTCAGCCTCAATTTCGTCCGGAATCGGCTGAGCTTGTTGGAGCAGTCCAGTAAGTTATTTCTGAACAATTTGAATTTTGTTTGGTTTTTTGTTCCAATTGTTATGGAATTTATTTGGTTTTGCATCTAGTTGATGATATGGATTTGGTTTTGTTTCCAAAATTTGAATTTTTGGCTCAGTTAATCTGGAATAAGGAATTTGATATTTTTGTGCATAAAGTGTGAGGTTTTGGGAGATGGAGTGAGAGTGTTTGATGAAATGCCTGAAAGATGGTGATAAATGAGAGTCATTACATGGACATGATACATAGATTCAAGTGTAAACCAAACGAAAAAATTGATTGAGAAATTCATAAACGTAATAGTAAAGAACACATTGCATAGTTTTCATACTCAAGGAACATAAGAAAGATTCTCAAATGACGAGGACTGGCCAATACTGGTGAAAGAATGAATCACGGGGATATGTCCCAGTCCCACCATTGTGTCAACACGGGTATGTCGGCAAGAAACAAGAGTCCGAGGATCACATATACCAACAGCGTAGAATAATCTACCTGGTAAGGTAACTAATTGCAACATGACCCTATAAACAATATTTAGTTAATAATATTCTTTCCTAAAACTGCCAGAGTGCCCATTATCTGCTTTATACTTGCGGTGTTCTCATAGTTTGTGCTCAATAAAGCTCAGTTCATTGTCAGGTCATGTTTCCTAATTTTCCAATGCCTTTATTCGAATATTGGTTTCATTCAACTTAGTATTAGTATTTACTCCATGCATGCTTTCGAATTAGTTTCTCAAATGGAAAGCCAAATGAAGACCATTTTGGAATAAATTTTATGCATGTGGCTTAGTCATGTCAAATCAGTTTAACTAGTGCCCTGTTGTGAAGATGGATGTAGGTCAGCACTTGAATGTCCTTTTGATGATAAAGTGAGGATAGGTCAGCCTGTGAGATGATGAATAAATGGGAATGATGGAATGGTTAGGCTATTTATAATGAGCGGAATTCTCGGGTTTCATGCTCTAGTTCTTCAATAGCATGTGATAATGGCCTAGTGCAGCCAAATGGATTCTGGAGATGCCTTTTTGCTTACTACTTGGGCTACTCTGAACTAGTCAAAATTCTGTTGTCGTAAACCATCTGAGACACAACCAGCTTCATTAGACATTACTAATATGAAGCATCTGTGTGCGATAATTCGTTCGCTAAGGTTGTACAATTTCTCTATTGATTGTTGAATGCCATTTCAATCTCTTCCTTTATTTTACAAATGCATCGTGTGAATTTTGTGCTTTCCATGCCTTTCCTTTGAATCAAAATTTTTAATGGAGTACAGGAACAATTGAAACCATTGATAGATCAACTTGGAAGAGTGAAGGACTTGACTGTTCCTGAATTTGGAAGCCGTCAAGCTTGGGAACTTCAGAATGCTGCTGGTCGAGCAGCTAATGGAGATCATGGGAATGATCCTTCTAAATCTTCACAAGGGTGGCCATTTGGTGGAACGCCTATGCCCTATGTTGGAGAGACAAAGGTGACTAGCTCCTCAGCCTTTTCCCCTTTTACTTGCAAAATTACTAATTTCTTATATTATACT